TTGCGTGTGCTTTTCCTCTTCCCTTAGGGACGAAGTTTGGTTGCGGAGCGTTATTTGCTATTTGGCCCCTTTCCGCCTTCTTCCTTTTGAGGAATCGTTCAGCTCGTTCTCCTCGCACCTTCAGGTCTTTCCAGGTCTTTGGTGGCGCCATTCCCATAGCTTCAAGGATGTCCAAGGAGAGATTGTTGTGGCAGGTCTCGAGGATGAAATCTTCGCTGACCGGATCCCTGCAATTCATTGCCTTATTTCGAAACCTCTTCACAAAGTTTTCGACTGTCTCACCGTTCTTTTGTTTCTCCTCAAACAGAGTGCTGATTGAGACCTCAGTGTCGTCGTCGAAGAAGTTCGTCAGGAACATGTCCTCCATGTCGTCCCAACTGCTGATGCTCCCCGGCTTGAGGCGACGATACCAATCGAAGGCCGCTCCGCGAAGAGTGCCAACGAATGACCGTACCATCAAGCGTTCGTTGCCGGAGATTGTTCCTAGGTGAGACTTGAAATAGATTAAATGTTGGGTAGGGGAACCCTTTCCATCAAACGGCGTAAAGTTAATGAGATTGAACTTTGCCGGATATGGAATTGATTCCCACTCCCTTGGATATGGACATGGTATGCCAGACCTTTTTACCTCTTGAGCGTTCATCAACGCGTTGATTTTGCTCTCCAAGTCCTTCATCTTCTTGTCTTCACTCGTTTCCATCTTCGAGTGGCTCTGGGGAGAGGTAATGTGGTCCTCTTTGGTATTATCATCTATAGGGCCACCTCCGTTGTCGTTGTTGACAGGGGGAATAATTATGTTGATATTATTCCCTTCCCGTTCATTTTCCTCTTGATTCTGATGATTGGGCCGAGTGGGCTCTTCTTGATGAGTTGTCAGAGCTGCGATATGCTGGTCGTGCATCTCCCTCATCTGCTGCACGGCCATCTCCATCTCGAACTTAAAACTTTCTTTCTGCCGAGCTAGGGCATCTTCAAGCATCTTGTTTACTTGTTCGGCGTTGATCATGAGTACCTCGCGGGGTTGCCCTTCGCTAGATACCGTGTTGTCCGATGCAATTGCAGAGCCGTCATCTGATCCTTCGTCTTCCGACGGTAATCTCGTCCGAACCCTACCATAGGTCCCTCGTGTGATGGTTCCGGACTGCAGATGAGTTAAATACCAAGGTACCAACGGGATTGACTCGGGATTGTCCCCTGTCGATGCTCCTTTGCTGGCCATGTTGATGGTGACCTTCGGGAATTCTCTATCTTTGACAATCCTTCTTCTTCGCTGGAAACGCCTAGGCTTAGCTTCAGACGTTCCGGTGGAAATTCTGTCAAATACTGAAATTCTCCTTGGGGTTTGAGCACAAGAGCATTCTGACAGCACTGCCTTGATTATATTGGCGCACGGGCAGCGAGACTCCATGTCCTGCACATACTTCTTTCGAGATTTCCCCATACCACCAGCTCTATAGTACAGCTCATCAGCTTGGTAACTGGAGCAACCTATAGAGTGTTGGCATGTGCTCCTTGGTAAAACACCATCATCCTCAGATGAGTGTGCTTCCCCTTTGGCATGGGATGTTTTGTTAGTTTTCTCAAAAGTGGCCCGTTCAAGTTTACGTTTTTGTGAACATAAAAATTGAACGGGCTCTTGTATTTCGACTCGCAATCCGATGCGGTCGGTGATAGGGGCTTTCCCTTTCTCATCTTTCGTGGGGGGATTAATTCGACCCCCAGTTTGATTTGAAACTTGGTGACCTTTCAATGGACCCAAGCGCTCCTTGATAGGTACTTTACCTCGACCACCGGAGGTACGGGGGCAAGGGGAACGGGACTTGGATTTGGTGAAGGTTGGGCAGCAACATCTTCAACTCCTATCTTAGGCGTTGGTTTCGCCTTCCGCATCCATACCTGCTTGAGCTTTGGCGGAGTCTTGACCGCCTCTTCTTTTTGCATCTTCTCCGCTTTCTGTAGGAGAGCTCGGGCATGCGCAAGCAATGCGCGGCGCTTCTTGATTCGCTCTTCGAGGGTCGAGCGAGTCCTCGTGACACGAATCCAATCATTTGCTTCTGTTTTGAAGGAGGAGTTGGTTACGTACCGTTGTTGCTCCAGGCGCTATCTCGATTTGAGATCTTCATTGTAGCGGACCCCGTCCATAGGCTCCAAAGCCTTGGCCATCTGACGAGCAAGGTGTTGACGCCGTCTTTGGCGCGTTCTCTTTGATATAGCTGGAGCACCTTCAGTAGCCATCTTCTTGACGGAGGAGAAGCCCAGTTCTGCGATCTCGACCACGTTGGGCGACGCGGAGACGCCACGTGGTGCGAGTGCAGCGATGGCAAGGGGCTCTTGGGTCTTTGAGCCGAGGGTCCCGCGAGCGATTCTGGCGGAGGATGCCTTCCTGCGCCTACTCGGAGAGGCGGATCTGGAGGAGGAGGAAGAGAGGTACTCTTCGAACTTTTGTTGATCGAACTCGTATTCGATCTCTTCATTCACCCGGATCTTGAATGCCGGTTGCGTCACGACGGCTTCGGTAGCGATGCCGTTGGCTCCCACTGTGGTCGCCAGCTTGTTTGCGGAGAAAGTTGTTGTATTCATTGCTGTGTTCATTACAACTTAGATCGTTACAATGAAACAAAAAGAAATCGCCTTTTTATAAGGCTCTTACACAATGAAAACAAAAAGGTTACAACTCTCTTCAAACAAACGCAAGATCCGTTTATCGTCTCTTGCTTGCGTGGGTCTTTTGCCTGTGACGGGGACGTCAATATCTGTGGACCACCGGGCACTCAGATCTGCTCCGAAAAAATCGGACAGAGCTTCGTCGATCCGTGTGAGATCTAGAAGCTTTAAGCGTCTATCTCGGCTAAAACGAGATATCAGCTCTTCTTAGTGATTACCGGCGAAGGGTAATACTAAGGAAAAGAGGGAACGGGTGATGAAGAAGAAACTCCTTTGCTGTAGACGGCTTCGCTCACCATCGCTCGCTGCAAGGCGGGAGGGCCTTGCGCCTAGGGCTGCTCTCAAATTTTTCAGATCTCAGGATGAAGCCCAAGATCTGAAATTAGCCGCAACACCAAAAGCGCACAAAAATGTCAGGAGCCCTTTTCAAATGGAGGCTAAGGGGCCTATTTATCAAGGAAACCAAGAGGGGGGGTGGTAAAAGGTGAGGACACACACCCCCTTGGGGTGTCGTCGCCCATAGCGCCGAGACACCCTGGGGTGTCATCGGCCTGGCCGAGACACCCCTGGGGTGTCTTGGTTTTGCCAAGACACCCCTCGGGTGTTTCGAGCTTGCCGAGACACCCCCGGGTGCCTCAGTTCAGTCCGAGGTCCTTCCGGGTGTGTTTGCCGTTGACTCGTCGTCCCAACTCGGATTTAATTGATTTCGGATGCGTTGGAATTCTGACGAAGAGCTCTGTCAGCCCCCATGGTTGAATTATCAGTGGGGTGAACGGGACACGAAGGGCGCTGCTTCTTTTGCAGCGGTCGCGGGGTTCCCGATCAATCCGTATCCCCGTTGTTCTGAAGTTCTGTCGGTTCACATAGCTCGTTGATTTGCTTCAGGCGTTTACCGACGTCAATCGAACTCTTGCGAACCGGGTAGTGACGTTCATCGTCATTCGTTAACACTGAGCTGTTTGCGGGGACCTATCGGCAATTTTTGATGCCTACAATTTGAGTTTACTAACGAATAGAATTTAACCAGATGTATATTCGATTCATTTGTCTATTAAATATTCGTTTAAAATTTGATCACATCTTATTATTTGTATTATTGCATATATGATGTCATATTTTTAACTCACTTATCATTTCTACTTAAGTTTTATATACTGATTTTAAGACTTAAATAATCTTAAATCTGTTTTCTAATTAAAATTTTGGTTTAAATATATACATCATATATTATAAAGAAATAATTTTTATTTATGAATTTTAGTATTATTTGAAAATCAAAATTTTAAGCAGAATAAATATACTTTGATATTCGATAAGTATTCGTAAATATTCATGAATATTTATCAAATACCAAGTATTCAAGTTCAAATTCGAAAAATTAGATATATGAATATTAGAGTCCGCATTCGAATTCGATAACTTTGAATAAATACAAATACGAACGCCTTAGTATTCGATTTGATTCGATCTTTTATCACCCCTAAAGAAAAGGCAGTCCAATTAGCAAATAAAATGAAAAATAAAGAAAAAGTTCTGCCACGTCAGCAATAAATAACAGAATATTCTAAAACAGACCTACTTTGATGAAAGAGAATATATTAGGGATATTTATCGATGACTTGCAAAGTTTAAGAACTCAAATGAAATTTGGCTAATATAGTAGGAACCTATAATCAAGTTTTGCCTTAAAAGAGCATCAAATAGTGTCACAAGACTCACAACTCGATTTTCTGGTGTTGTTTTGTTTGCAAGAAAAGCAATAAAATATTGCACGGAACATAGCGGAAAAATCAAATCCAAATCTATTATTTCGATATCTGCAATCTTGTTATAAGAAATATATTTTTCAAAACAAATTTAGTGTTTGAGTGAATTTTTTTTATGAAAGCTAATTATCACATATATTAAACTAAACAACTCTTTTTTTGCACAGCCAAACAACTCTCACTAAAGATGCTGATTATAATACTGAATTCTATCTTGTTTGCATTGATTCGATATTCGATTCAAACCACATTTTCATTGTCCTCACTATTTATATTGAATTTTTTTTATTTGTTTATGTCGATTTAAAAATTTATATTGGTATAGTATCATGGTCTTCCCTTCTTTTCCAGGATGGACCTTTTATATTATTTTTCCTTTTCCCTAAACATTCATGTGGACCTCTTTGCTTATTCCAAGCTGCTTCTTAATTAATTTTTTGTCCTTTTTATTTCAGAGTCTCCTTACCCCCCCCCCCCCCCCCCCCTAAAACGCTTTCCCAAAAACAAGAGAGAGAGAGGAGAGAGTAGATGAAGTTTGTTTACAAGTTCTCGAAAGGTCTCAGAACCAGCGCGAGCTCCTGATCGATGAGCTGACCAAAGGTCACAAACTGGCCTGCCAGCTTGTGGCTCTGTTGTCCGAACAAAAGACTTCTTCGAATAATGAGCGGATTTGCATCGTCCAAGAAATTATGGTGAGCTTTCACAGCGCACTCAAAGCTCTGCAGGACTCTGGCGTCAAATCACAGAAGCACAAACGAAACGAAAATCCTCTCCAAATAGGCAGGATCCAATCAGCGCACGCTCCTGGAGGCCAGAAAACAAGGTTAATTAATGATTTTTCGGATTAATTGAGGGTTGCGCCGCTTATTATCCCTTAAGTTTGATATTAGCAGATAGACCGTTTGTATAACGTTGTCCACGTACTCAGTCCGGAGTGTGATAATATAGCGGATCAATCCGACACAAATCTCTAACTACGTTCAGTTTGACGGATTTATCGTTCAATATCAAATTTAAGGAGTAATAAGTGGCTTAGTAAGGGTTATGCGCGATTAACTCTATTTTTTTTTTGTGCTTTTTTTTGTATATCTCCCTCAAATAATAAGTGGCATCATGACTTTCAAACAATGAAATTAAACTAATGTGTCAGATAACTATTTGTTTTATTCTTTCTTTTCATAGTCTTCTTTGTAAGAGGGGGAAAAAAGAAATAGAAGGTATTAGGCTCTTTTAAAAAAAAATATTTTCTCTTCTTCTCCTAGACCCAATCAAGCATTCTAGGGGTTTTAAAATGAGGGTTTATCTATTTTTATCAAGACAACTTTCATTCATCAAGAGCAAGTGTTTGAAGACAATTGAAGAGCTTTTCTCTTGCTGTTTTGTTCTCATACGTACAGTTCTGTATATATTATCAATTTAACTTTATCTTTTTGGTTGTTTATAAAAATTTTAATTTCTACTATGTATATGTATGGCTGGTTTTGGTTCTTTTCTAAATCTGTGTCAACGATGAATGACGGCAAGGCCATCTCTTCATCTTCATAGATCTTTGGAAGAAGAAGGTTATACATCTCTTCTAGTAAAAATTTTATTTTCTATATTCCAATATATGGACACTGTTCGTGTCCTTGTTTTGTACTGAAATATCTTTTGATAATTCTGATTATTAATGAACGGGGTAGGACACTGTTCGTGTCCTTGTTTTGTACTGAAATATCTTTTGATAATTCTGATTATTAATGAACGGGGTATAACCCTTGTTTTTACACTGAAATATCTTTTGATAATTCTGATTATTAATGAACGGGGTATAACCCTTGTTTTTACTTCAAAAAAGAAAAAAAAACTTTCATTCATCAAATAATAATAAATACTCAGCCACCATGAAAGATGCAAATCCAAATGATAGTATAGAACCCTTGATAGCTCTTTGTTTTTTATTTGCAATTATTTAAGCTCCATAAAATTTATAGATCGGCAAAATTATGCTGCCACTAGCTGACCTTTTTTTTTTTAAAAAATACACGCAGATCTCTCCCTTATTCATACACACTGACCAAATCAAAAAGTCTTAATGATGGTCATTCATGGAGGAAGTACGGGCAGAAGAAAATATTCAATGCTAAATTCCCAAGGTAATGATTTTTGTATTATTGATGAAATTAGGGTTAACCGCACGTAGATTAATCTCTGTACTATTGTGCTTTGAAACTTACTAGCACTCATGCAGTTTGATTTTGCAGATAGACCCTTAGGGAATTTTTTGACTCTTTTACCCTCGGGGATATATTTGCCAAAAACAAATTTCTCTTTTTCTGAGAATAAAAGAGTAAAAAAAATATCGCGGAGGAGTTTACTAACGAAAATCAAACTAGATGAGCAAAAAGTTCAAGAGCGCAATCTTACATTAGGAGGTCTATCCTCAATTAAACTTTTAAAAGATGGAAAATGATAGAGGCACATCTTGTGCCACACCCCCTCTCTCAGCTACAGTGCACGGGGCCCACACATGAGATTAAAAAATCTCATGTGGGGGTGTGCCTGTAGTGCCACACTGCCACCCTTAAAAGATAGGTTTTAGAACAATTTTGCAGTTCCTTATAAAATCTTTATGGTCTTTTTAGGAGCTATTTTAGATGCCCACACAAATATGATCAAGGATGCAAGGCAACAAGACAGGTTCAACAGTCCGAGCAAGACCCTTCAAGGTTCACAGTCACCTATTTTGGCCAGCACACATGTAGAGATCCTTTCGAGGTGGCATCATCTTGCATTGAAGAAGATCCTTGTACCATCAACTTTGCTTCCCCTTCGGAGTTTGATGCAAACTTCGAACAACCTCAGCTCTCAACTTTGAAGCAAGGGGACTCGTGTGAGGATGTTGTTGGCAACACTGCGACCCCCGGAAGCTCATTATCTAATTGTTTTAAGTTCCCGGAATTTGGCTTGAGTGAGATGCTCAGTCTTTTAGCGTGACGCGGTGCTGGAAAAGATGTGAAATGACAAAAAAAAAATTTATGCTTAGGTAGTTTGGAGTTTGATGTACGCCATGGTTTATGTTCGACATGTTAGGTCCATTTTTTGCGAAACCGAACCGAGCGGAATAGCCAATAAAATGCGCACATTTCAAGTTGAAAAGACAAAGATGGATAAATAGATTCTACATACCATTTTCCTAATTTCTCATTTCATCTTTATTTTGTTTTGATATAAATTCATAGAGAAGATGGTTAAATATTTCTCCATAGAACTCCAAAATTTGATGGTATCTCGTAAATAAAGGTTGACCCCAGAATGGTGTGGCTTGCCGAAGCGCTCTCTCTCTCTTTCAAAAGCACTCCCTCTCGTCTTGGGCACTAAAAATAGTTCATCTTTCCTATATAAAAGCTGTCAAAATCGAATAAGATATCAAAAACAAGATTCTCTCTTTCTCTCTGCAAATTTTTCCTATTGAGAGGTGAGAAAGAAAGAGAGAAATAAAGTCTTTTTTCTTCGCATTTCAAGGTTGAAGATTGAGTTTATATTGATCAAGATGGCTAGATTTCCTTTGGTTTTGATGGTCATTCTTGCTCTCGTCTTCAGCATTGTGTTTCCCGCTGTACAGGCTGAGGGTCCTGCTATGGCCCCCAACAGTGACGGTAATACAACTTTGTAGTAACTATCATCTCTTAACTCAACTTATTTATTAGCACTTATTGCTCCAAAATTCACGATCGACATATACATATAGGGGTTATTTACAATTTATTCTTCCAAAATTATCAATCCGGAAGTGTTTAAGTGCTAGTAAAATAGTCGAGAGGGTTTGAGGGGGTCACCTGCAATTTACCATATTTTTTATAATTTTTAATATGCTGTTTTTTTCTAATTGCAGGGAAGTCAATTGATCAAGGAATTGCCTACATGTTGATGCTGTTGGCTTTAGTCGTGACCTACCTTATTCATTAAACAAATAAAGAATAATGTTTAATTAGATATATGGTGTTGTTTAGTGGAGTTATTGTTGGAAATTGAGGTTGAATCTGGAATTGAACAGTGAAGGATGATGTGCTGTTATTTTAAAAACTTTTAATTAACTGTTGTGTGTTTGTGAAACACTGTGCTTAAAACAATATTTGGCCTACTCCGGTGCAAGGATCCCAAGGCTAAACTGCTTCCAGGAACAACAGTGCAATACTCTGGTGTGCACCAACCCAGTATTGTCAAGATCTCCTTGATCTATAAGACCTTTCGGTCTAGGCAAAAGATCTCATCGATCTCAGAACCTTACGGTTCAAAAGCTTTCGGTTTAAGATAAATTACACTTCGCACAAGTTCCTGCAGCAGCAGCACAACAACAACAACGTCGGGATCGACGTTCGTATTCCAGCACGCGATGTTCGTGTTCCACGCACGCGAGAGGATTTTCAGCTTGCATCCAAGAGCTGCCCAAGAGCGTTATTTATAGGCCTCTAAGGCCAGCTCAAGAGTCACAAGCAATTAATGTGACTATTACAATTCTTAATGACAATTAAGATTATAACATCAATGTATTAAATTGCTCTTAATACTGTTGTAACCGCTGCATGCATTAACTCCTGAATATGAGACAATCAATGGACGCGTTGCTACGAAACGCGAGGGTCACGTCTCAACAAATCAGACGAACCTCGTTTGACAAACGAACGTCGTCAAACAGGCGAACCTCGTATGACAGACGAACCTCGTCGAACGATCGAACATAGTCAAGCAAGCGAACCTCGTATGATATACGAACCTCGTAGATCGAGCGAACCTCGTCAAGCAGGCGAACCTCGTATGACAGACGAACCTCGTCAACAAGCGAACCTCGTCGAACGAATGAACATCGTCAAACAGGCGAACCTTGTATGACAGTCGAACCTCGTCGAACGAGCGAACCTTGTCAAACTACGAGAACACTAGGGTCACCCTCGTGCGTATACGTAGCTCGTCTACATGCTGCGAAGCAGCCTGCGAGGCAGCCTTCGTGGCGACCATAGTGGCGCCAAACAGCGCCACCTCGCCCCGATGCCTCCGTGCGAAGTGCGCCTAACAAAGCGTCACTTAGCGCCTTAGCCCGATTAGCCCCGATCCCCGGCCCATTAGCCCACGGCCCACGGCCCACGGCCCACGACCTACGAGAACTTATAAGGGATAGATTCAAATAAAATACTTCTCGGCTTGCCGTTGGCAAGCCTTGAACAATGGACCTTTTGAAACACAAAAACATAAACTTTCCACTAGGCTACTAAGCATTTATGAAAAGTACTTGTAGTTAATATATATATAGTTTGAAAACTCATTTTGGAAAGCTGTTTTGACCAAAAAATCCAACAATCCCCTACAAAATTTTAAACTAGTGTCGTGTTATGGTGTCGTGTTTCAATCGTTGTGCATAAGGTAGATGTCGCAAGGACTTGAATCCCCTTTAGACCAACTGAATAAAAGATAGATGCATGGTGTCGCAGAGACTTGAACCAGCACATGTCTAAAATCCAGCGATCACACAAGATCAAACTCATCTGTGGTAGTTTTCACTTTGAACCATATTTGCCTTTGCCTTTGCACATTTATGGCCTTATGCTAGTCCTGGTTTCTACTAGGGCTCTAAGCATCTTTCCACAAGACACCATAGGAGATGACCAAATCTTCACCCAGACATAAGTGAGTTCTTTAGGCATGTTTCCTAGCAAACATCCCGCATCCGAAATGCTTTGAACTCATTAAGGCTTAAAAGCCATCCTCTCTTATGATATGATTCTAGGTGAGTCCTTTAGGCGTGTTTTCTATCTAACACCCCGCATCTGAAATACTTTGGACCCATTAAGGCTTAATAGCCAACCCCTTTATATGATAGGATTATCGGTGAGTCCTTTAGGCATGTTACCTATCCAACATCCTGCATCCGAAATGCTTTGGACCCATTAAGGCTTAACATCCAACCTCTTTACATGATAGGATTTTATTTGTAAATCTTACTTGACTTTTGAACCAATCATCTTGTCATTAGTAGCATAAGCTTTGAACTAATAACTTGACGAAATGGTAAGTATTTGTAAGACTCACCAAACATTGCAAATCTTACTTGACTTTTGAACCAGTTATCTTTATTATTAGTAGCATAAGCTTTGAACTAATAATTGGATGAACATGGTAAGTATTTGTAAAACTCACAAAACTTTAAGACCCATTGCAGCAGATGTCCTTTAGACTATGTCCTTTTTCAGACCTTTAGTCAAAGGATCAGCCACATTCTCTGAAGACCGAACGTCAATCACCGAGACGACTCCTTGGTAAATGAGTTCTCTCAAATAGCCATGCTTCAGACGAATGGTCCGCTTCTTTCCATTGAACAACGAGTTCGCTGCCACAGCACCCGTTGCCTGATTATCACAATAGATTATAATTGCGCCTTGTAATTCTGTCAATGGAAGGTCTCGAAGAATACAACTGAGCCACTCAGCTTCATCTCCTGCAGCATAGAGTGCGAAGAACTCAGATTCCATCGATGACTGTACAATCATAGTTTGCTTCTTAGATTTCCACGAGACGGCAGCTCCGCCCATGGTGAAGACAAAACCTCCAGTAAATCTGCACTCATCTGGTTCTGAACACCAGCTCACATCTGAATAGCCTTCGATTACAGCCGGATATCCAGTGTAGAATAGGCTCTGACCTATAGTTCCTTTCAAGTATCTCATCAATCTCTGGACAGTATCCCAGTGATGCTTTCTAGGATTACTTGTGAACCTACTAAGCATTCCTACAGCAAATGCTATATCTGGCCTTGTGCAGCTCATCGCGTACATAAGACTTCCAATTATCTTTGAGTACCTTAGCTTCTCTATTGGTCTTCCAGTGTTCGATCAAAGCTTTTTGTTGTAATCATACGGCACTGACAGTTTTGACAGATCGTAGTAGCCATACTTCCTTAGCATGCTCTCGATATAATAAGATTGGGACAATCCAATACCCTCTTCAGAGTATATGATTTTGATTCCGAGAATCACGTCCGCATTTCCAAGGTCCTTCATACTGAACTGAGCTGATAGAAATTTCTTGGTAGATGTTACTATCTCCAAATCACTCCCGACAATGAGCATATCATCCACATAGAGGCAGATAATCACTATCTTCCATTCAGCGACCTTGATGTATAGGCACTTGTCAGACTCGCTGACTTGATACTCATTGTTGCGAACAACCCCATCGAACTTCTCATGCCAGAGTTTCGGTGCCTGCTTAAGTCCATATAGAGACTTAATAAGTTTACAAACTTTATCAGCTGGAGCATCAAGTCCTTCTGGTTTCTCCATGTAGATCTCTTCTGTGAGGTCTCCATTAAGAAAGGCAGTCTTCACATCCATCTGATGTATGACGAACTTTTTTATCGCCGCCCATGCGATAAGCACTCTGATGGTAGTGATCCTGCAAACTGGTGCATAGATGTCAAAGAAATCTATTCCTTCTCTCTGAGAGAATCATTTCGCTACCAGTCTTGCTTTGTACTTCTCAATAGTACCATCAGTATGAAGCTTGTTCTTGAAGATCCACTTGCAACTGATATGCCTAGCACATTCAGGTACATCCACCAGCTCCCATGTGTGATTTTGGATCAATGAATCTATCTTATCATCTATAGCTTCTTTCCATAGAAGAACATCTGTTGATTGCATTATTTCTTTGAAAGTTTGTGGGTCTCCTTCCATATTATAGGGGGTGAAATCATCTCCAAAATATTTCTGTCTCCTGACACGCTTGGAAGATGGTTCGGTAACTCCTTCATCACTGACATTTTCAGTTTCTCGTGAAACTGGCTCCTCTGGTGCGTCTGACGTACTAGCATTCTCTGCTATATCTTTGAACAATAATCTTTTATCTTTGATAAATTTATCCTCAAAGAATTTTGCATCCCGAGCTTCAATGATGGAGTTAGTTCTAAGATCAAGGAACCTGCAAGCATCACTATCTTTAGTAAAACCAAGAAACACACATTTGTTTGCCTTTGGTCCGAGCTTAGGCCTTTTGATATCTGGAACTCGAACATATGAGAGACACCCCCCACACTTTGAGACTATCCGAAGGATATGGATATCCCAACCATAACTGATGAGGAGTACTATCAATTTTAGAATATGGTACTCTGTTCAGAATCCAGTTTGCCATCAGCAAAACCTCTCCCCAATAGCATGTAGGTAGACCAGATGTAATTAGCATCGAATTCACCATCTCGGTCAATGTGCGATTTTTCCTTTCTGCAATTCTATTAGATTGCGGAGAATACAGAGTAGTAGTTTCAACAATGATTCCATGCTCCTTGAAGTATGTCTCTGACTCCTTAGATCGGTACTTCACTCCTCTGTCACTCCTGAGTCTTTTCACCTGAAATCCAAGCTGCTTCTCCACTCGAGTTCGAAACTCGACAAACTTGCTGAAGGCTTCATCTTTAGATTTCAGCAGGTGGACGTGACAGAAGCGAGAGTGGTCATTAATGAAGGTGATGAAGTACTTCATGCCGCCTCGAGTGACAAAGCTCTTGAAATCACAAGTATCTGAGTGAATCAGATACAATAGGTTGGTGCTCCTTGTGACACTTGGAAATGACTTCCTTGTCAGCTTTGCTTGCGCACAGACTTCACACTTGTCAGGTTTGTTACCCCCACATTTCGAAAACAATCCTAACTTCTACATGCTAGACAGCTTTCTATAATTCACATGTCCTAGCCTATTGCGCCATAATACAGAGGAGTAAGCAGAAGATGATACTTCATTTACAACTGAGTTGGGTACAATAGTACTGATCTTTTACATACCATCAGTACGATATGTATTGCCAAAATATATTTTCTTAAAAGATAACACAGCCTTTCCTCCTTGAAAATCCAGCCTCATACCAGCGTCACACAGCAGGCTTTCAGAGACTAAGTTTTTGACAATTGAGGGAACATGTTTCACATCCTTCAATGTGAGAGTCTTCCCTGAAGAAAGAGTCAGCACTACAGTCCCAGTTCTAAGAACAGGAACAACAGAACGATCAGTCATTGATACGTTCTCTTTGGCAGCAGTATAGGAAGAGAACAAATCTCTGTTGGAGCAGACATGACAGGTATCACCTGTATCTAACCACCAACCAAAGACTTTGTTGGGAGTTGTCACCTGAAAGAGCATAGCCACACAATTGTCAAGTTGATTAACATTGTGTACTGTTCCCTTCTTTGGTGCTTTGCAGTCTTTGGCAAAATGTCCTTGCTTCCCATAATTGAACTCTTCTTGAAATCTTTCTTCTGAACATTCAGGTTCTTCGGATTATGATTCTTTTTTTTGTTAAAAAACTTCTTTTTTTAGAAGAATTGGTACCATTCTCAGAGTTAGTAGCTACCATGTTAGCAGACGCCTTCTGCTTAGCTAGGAGCTCATTCTTTGTACGAGTCCGAATCTCGTCATTGATCCGAATGAACCTCTTCAAATCAGATAAAGTCACTTGTCTTTTCCTTCTTCGGATGTCCGTGGAGATCGACATCCAAGATGGAGGAAGCTTGTCGACAATAGCACAGAAATAAAGGTTTGACAAAGACTGATCTTTTCATCCTTCAGCTTCATAACAAGCTTTTCGAGTTCTTTAACTTGACGCAAAACCTAAGTGTCATCTTCAAACTTGAAGTCCAGAAATTTGTCAATGAGGTGAGACTTGGAAAGCTTCTCCTCATCCTTGTATTGCTCCTCCAGAGCATTTCAGATTTCCTTTGCGGATGACTTGTTGGTGTAAGCATCTGCCAGATGATCAGTCAGACAGTTAAGAAGATAACTCCTGCAGAAATGATCATCTTTATCCCAAGAGGCTTCAGACTCTGAGTCTTCTTCAAAGTCAGGTTTCTCCTCAGAAATCACATAGTAGATTTTTAGGAGTTGCATTCCAAAAATCACTTTTCGACGCCATGCGTTAAAGTTAGATCCATCAAAGTTTTCTAACTTGAGACAGTCCACTCCAAGAGTCCTCGCAGGATCCATTAGTAGATCTGAAATATTGCTTTAAGATTATTGGAAATTGAGGTTGAATCTGGAATTGAACAGTGAAGGATGATGTGCTGTTATTTTAAAAAATTTTAATTAACTGGTGTGCGTTTGTGAAATGCTGTGCTTAAAGTAATATTTGGCCTACTCCAGTGCAAGGATCCCAAGGCCAAACTGCTTTCAGGAACAGCAGTGCAATACTCTGGTGTGCACCAACCCAGTATTGTCAAGATCTCCTCGATCTATAAGACCTTTCGGTCTAGGCAAAAGATCTCCTCGATCTCTGAACCTTACGGTTCAAAACCTTTCGGTTTAAGACAAGTTCCTGTGGGCACAAGTTCCTGTAGCAGCAGCACAACAGCAACAACGTCGGGATCGACGTTCGTATTCTAACACGCGGCGTTCGTGTTCCACGCTCGCGAGAGGATTTTCAGCTTGCAACCAAGAGCTGCCCAAGGACGCTATTTATAGGCCTCTAAGGCCAGCTCAAGAGTCACAAGCAATTAATGTGACTGTTATAATTCTTAATGACAATTAAGATTGTAACATCAATGCATTAAATTGCTCTTAATGCTGTTATAACCGCTGCATGCATTAACTCCTGAATACGAGGCAATCAATGGACGCGTTGCTACGAAACGTGAGGGTCACGTCTCAACAAATCAGACGAACCTCGTTTGACAAACGAACATCGTCAAACATGCGAATCTCGTATGACAGACGAACCTCGTCGAACAAGCGAACATAGTCAAGCAGGCGAACCTCGTATGACATACGAACCTCGTCGATTGAGCGAACCTCGTCAAGCAGGAACTTATGAGGGATAAATTCAAATAAAACACTTCTCGGCTTGTCAAGCCTCGAACAAGGGACATTTTGAAATACCAAAACATAAACTTTCCACTAGGCTACTAAGCATTTATGAAAAGTACTTGTAGTTAATATATATATATAGTTTGAAAACTCATTTTGGAAAGCAGTTTTGACCAAAAAATCCAACAGTTATTAAATGATGTCGCAGAGACATCTTGTTGCATACAGTTTTGTTGGATTTTCAGTATCCAATTATTGTATGTTAATTGTAATATATTATGCTTTTTATTCAGTTTGAGGAAATGGAATGGATTTTTTTGGCTAATCAAGCAGGCTGCTATATAGATTGTCAATATATCAATCATGGAATTTATGTGAATTTAGCATGATAAATTTAAAAAAAATGGCTCCATTAGCCTAAGATAAATACATACACAAGGGATCAAACATGGGTCTAAATCAAAAAATCTGAAGGCAAATTGTATCAGAGTTAACTCACCTGTCTCCTTGTTGAAGATGATAATGACGAACAATGGCAATTTCTTGAATTGACATCCAGTTACTCTTCTCATTCATTGTTCTCAGAGACTCATCTTGAAAAATTGTCCAACTTAAGAATGATGCTTAGTCCATAAAAATCCCTCCTTGATTCAAACAATTGTCATAAGAACTCCTCAACCTCTGTCATGATTCTCTTAAGACCTCTCAACACAAAATGGATGTGTTCAGTAAGCATAGAACTCGAATCACCCGAATGAAACACTTCAACCTTATTCTTCGTTTCAATCCAACTGCATCCTGGATTCTTCGTCGTCCCTTCTCTCTTCATTTCCATCCTCACTCTCGCAGCCTCATCCTTGAACCCCATCTCGCCGTAAAATTTCAGAACTTGCAGGTAGCTGCCACTCTCTTTCGGCTTCAACTTGAGCAATTTATCAGCCGTAAAATTTCAGAACTTGCAGGTAGCTGCCACTCTCTTTCGGCTTCAACTTGAGCAATTTATCAGCTACAACTTCTCCAATTTCCAAACATCGATAATTTCTGCACGCGCTTAACAAACAAAGCCAAATACTTTCATCAGGCTCCGTGGGGATTCTAAGAGTGAAAGAATAGGCTTCATTCAACTTCCCTGCACGAGCCAATAAGTCCACCATATTCGCATAATGTTCCATTTTAGGAACAATTCTATAGCGCACGTTCATCGATTCGAAGATTTTGTGCCCTTCTTCTATTGAGCCTGAATGGCTACAAGATGATAGTAAGGAGAGGAAAGTAGTATCATCCGGCAGTATCTCTGACTTCTCCATTTCTTCGAACAATTCAATTGCCTTTGTACAGTGACCGTGAGACCCGTAACCTGAAATCATTGTATTCCAAGAAATGATGTTCCTAATCTGCATCTTTTCAAAGATAATTTGTGCATAATTCAAGCATCCACACTTCATGTACATATCAAGAAGAGCATTTTCGACGAGGTTATCACATAGTATCCCATTCCTTACTTGGTAACCATGAATCATTTTCCCTTTCTCTAGGGCTGCAAATGAGGAAACTGAAGCAAGTACACTGGTTACAGATATTTGATCAGGAACTAGACCAAGCCCTGTTATTTCAGAGAAAGTGCTGACAGTTTCATCGAGAAGGCCATTTCGACTGTAACCTGAGACCATCGAATTCAAAACTACAAGATTCTTATAAGGCAAGAAAGAGAAGGTTCTGCCTGCCAATTGCGGTAACCCTAATTTTGAATACATGTCTATAAGAGCACTACCAACTAATTGGTCGTCATTCGTGCCAATTTTGATCGCATGACAATGAATCTGGCACCCAAGTTCTAAGAATTCCAAACCAGTGCAGGCTGCTACCGTGCTTGCGATGATTGTTGCATCTAGTGACAACTCTTCAGCCCTCATTTGATTGAATAAATCCAGGGCTTGATCAAAATTCTGATTTTGACAACAGCCCACAATCATAGAACCCCAAGTTACAAGATCCCTATCCTTAGTTGAAGCAAAAAGTGCAGTAGCACTTTCTAAAGTACCACTCTTCATATACATAGTTATCAAAGAACTTTGGACAACAGCCATGTTTAAAAAAACAGGTCTTTTTATCAAATCTCCATGGATTCTTCTCCCAAGTTCCCAGAAACCAGTTAAGCTGCTAGCAGAGAGCATGTTGGTTACCGTAATGGAGTCAGGTAGGATCCCATTTAATCTCATTTGGTTATAAACATCTAAAGCTTTATACACAAGACCTCTACTAGTATACACTGAGGCAATTGCATTCCAAAGCTCAATTCTTTTGTACGTGATGCCATAAAAGACCCTTTCAGCATCATCAACGAATCCTAATTTCCCGTACATCACTACTAAAGAACTAGAAACGTAAGGATGCAACTCCAAGCCCATCTTCACAACACAACAATGAACCCGTTGACCAAAATCAGCAGCCTCACCAATCAAACAAGCCATTAGAACACTCGACACAGTTGCTGATTCTACCACAAAATGCTCAAATCTCATTTGAGCAAACAACTCCAAGCTTCTCTCCCACATATTATGTCGGTAAAAGCCAACAATCATTGCATTCCACATTGAAATACTCTTGTCAAAAGAACCGTTAAACACTTTGAAAGCTCTCACAGTATCTCCACATTTCGAGTACATATCAATCAATGCTGTAACCAAATATGGGTCAACTTCCAGCCCGTTTGTAACACCAGAAGCATGAGCTTGTTTTCCATGATCTAGACTCAAATGCCCGTCACTAGTGGCCTTTAGAAGAATCGTTAGCGAATGCCCATCGGGCTTAAAGCCCGATAATTGCATTTCACGGAGCAAGAAGAGAGCTTTGTGCGGTCGGCTACACTGAAAGTACCCGTTGAGCATGGAGTTCCATATGGTGGAATCTCTATGTTGCAATTGAGCAAACACTTGGTGGGCATCAAGAGGGGAGTGGCATTTGAAGTAGAGGCTGATGAGGGAGCTGGCAATGAATGGGTCAGATTGGAGGCCCATTTGGAGAGTAATGGCATGGGTTTTTTGGCCATTTAGTAGGTCTTGAGTGATTGCAAAGTTTTTGATGAGTGAAGGGATTGTGAATTTGGTCAAGGTTTTGTGATGTGTTGTTCTTGTTGTTGCTGTTGTGAAGGGGAAAATGTGAGTCAAAAGTATATAGGGGTTGATGGGTATGGTATTAACGCGTAGAGATTTGGATGCAGTTTGCATTTGATGGTTTACAAGGGTCTTTAGTTTACAGAGTGAGGAGTTCTATGTACAGAGACGTAGAAAATCAAAATAAAATAGTGAAACCGGGATGATATGAGATGAGCTTGTTTTGTAGATGAAGCTAGTCCTAAAAATATTTGATTTTAGGAAACTACTAATAATTGTTCTCAGAAAATCATTATAAATTTGTTTCTTCTAAGTTGTCATCAATAAGCTTAAAGCTTGTTATGGTTTTTTTTTGATACTTTGACAAATGAATAAAGAAAGAAGTAGGTAGTCTATGGTCAATACACATCCTATCAGAACCGATCACATGCGGCGAGTTAGAGGGGCAAAGTGACAACTTTGCCCTCCTACTTTGCTCATCGATGCGCAACCGGTTTTTATAGAAACACTACTCGTAGTAGCAGTCTATTTTAGCTCTTATAAATTTAAATGGATGGAAGTCATTCGTTCACTAGCTTTTTTATTTATTAATTTTACGTTGACATTATTGTTAGCATGGGGCGTGCATCAAAATACAAATATCAAAGATAGCATTAATATATAGCACAAATCACAAAACATAATAAAAAAATTAAAAACACTAATGGACAAATGCTTATATCCACTTATTAAGATTATTCTAGCTTTACTCTGCATATTTGTCCGGAACAGAAACCAGTCGTTAACAATTGTATCAGAGTAAACGTAGCTTGTAGTACTTTTCCAGTTTTCATGATACCTCTTTGAAATCTATAACTTTCAACCATCATCCTACTTAAGGAATCAGTAGTGGTTTTATCACATATAATCACTTCTATCGTTTCTCGATTGTTTCTTTGCACAATTCCAATCTTAATAAAATTAAATAAAAAAAAGTTCACACCTTTCTATTTTTTATTTCTTTTACATAAAGAACAGCAGTCACTCTTCTTACATAGGGACGGTCTCCAGTGTACCTCAATTGTTTCTTTGAACTACCAACCTTTACAATTAAAAAAAACAAAAAAAAAGGAACAGAAAATAATAAATAAATAAAAACAAAACAAAAAAAAACAAAAATTTCAAGCATTTTCTCCTTCCCTGCTTCATGTATGATAGCATAACACTCTTTTTAAACATTGCAAGGTCTTTCCGTCACCAGTTAATGCAAAATGTATAGTGTACTGGCCCAAATTTGGGACCTTCACCCGGTTTTTACTTTCACACTTCTTCAACCTACAATATAAAAAACCAATAAAATCAATAACAATGTTCCACATTTTTCACACCTCAGAGAAAAAGTAAAACGGATAGGAAAGTAAAAAAGATAAAAAAAGAAAATGCAAATGTTTATTTAAGCATTAAGAAAGATCAAACCAAATGGAAAATGCTAGGTGTATTACAAGAGTTACACTACTCCTGTACTACTGGAGTACTACTAGACAGAAATAAGTGGGGTTCATAACAACTCGTAAATTTTTTCTTTGCAGTTTATAAGAAAAGGTCCCACTTTTTAGTGTGTAGCAGTAGAAGAGTTGTATAACTCTTGTGTACAGTTATCACTGCTCAAACCAAATAAAAAGGAACCCGTATTAACATCAAAGAGTTACAGGCCAAATATATTAACTCCTAATACCCTCCTCATAACATTGTTATAGTGTAAAACTAGCTTGAAGATTTGCACCTTATTATATCTAACTTAAGTTTCTAAGAACACATAAATCAACCATTTAAGAGCTAGCACCAAATATCAAGCAAAGGCAAGCATAGGAAAGAAAGCCCCTCTGTCAAAACACAGGAATCTAGTTGGCTAGAGTTATGCTACTATAAATAACTTGAAACGAAGGTGTTGAAAAGCAAATTAGTTGTCCAGGAAAAGCTTGTGAGAAGCTGGTATTGGAAAGAATTTTTCATTTGCTTATCGTTATATGAACATTATATAATCAACCATGTTTCTTCTTCGCGATACTGATATGCAGTCACCAACTGCGTAAACGAAATCTACAAAACACTGTCTCTAAACCATGATTTTAAGCGCTATTCAATTGTTACACCTATTAACTACAAAGAAGGATATCGTACCAAATATTAATTCAGACTAGTTGTTCAAGGCATGATATCAGCAATCCAAATATGATAATCCTTATCTCAAAGATGAATGTGGACTAAGAAAACAAATGCATAATCAATATTTGAAACTAAATAGAAGGACAAAAACCTGAGGGAGCCTCATCAACTCCAGAACAGCTTTCTTGGGAGTCAATTCATTATCAATAATCCGAGCAACTGCAGTCAAGACTGGCATCTTAACATGGTATTTCTCAGCCAGCGCAATAACAGCCCCAGCAGTCGAAACTCCTTCAGCAACCTAAGTCAAAAGATCAATTATTAAAAATCTATTGCTGAATGCTTACAAGAGCACATAGAAAGGATTACGCAAGAACCTGACTCATAGAACTCAGTATATCCTCAAGCTTCTCTCCAGAACCAAGACGCAATCCTACAGTTCTATTTCGAGAAAGACTCACAAAACATGTAAGCATAATGTCGCCAGAACCTGATAAACCAGTAAGTGTTGTTGGTTTTGCTCCCATCTTCACATGAAAATAAAAAGGTCAGATACTGGAAATATAGACAGATATGATTAACATTACAAGATGTTTCAATGCACAAACATGTTAAGATAGTAAGTTACTTTTGTTGCCAGCCATCTTATTTCCGAACAACCTTGAGCAACAAGAGCTGCCATACAATTATTTCCGAGATTCATTCCCTCCACAATACCAGCTGCTATAGCAAGCACATTTTTCAATGCGCCAGTTATTTCGACTCCTGTGACATCACTGAGATATCATAGGCACACAGTAAGAAGTAATGGTTTCAAATTTAAGCGTATACCGAAGGAACCAACAGAAGTCGAGGGAAAATTTAGGAACACAAGAAAACAGAGGCGGAGACAGAAACATAAAATAACTATAGAAAGCAAAACATGCCTGATCTTCCTAGGAAATTGACAAGGAGGAGAATATTATCTAACCTTGATGAGCTTATCCTCAGATGTGGGGAAGCTAATAGTTCTTGTGCTATAGCTGCTAGTTTTTTATCTTTTGATGCAACCACCATTGCTGCAGAGTTACAATTTATGTGTTAGAAACCTTTCCTTGCTTCTAAAGAGGGAAGAACTTGTAGCCATAAACTGGCTGAGGTTGCAGACTCGACTCATATCCAACTAGTAGATAGGTAGGATAAAATAGATTCAGAAGTATGCAGCATGGTAATATATTTTTAAACCCATAATTCTTTTTAACTTGCATGTCCTTTGGGCCCATCATACATAGTTTAGTAACTCAAATAATAATCATATGAAAATAAATTGTGAAGATTAAATGAACCTGTTGGCAATTTATTCATCAACTCCAATGCAAAGGAGGGCCCTGACAGCACAGTAAAAGGCTGACGATGATTTCCCAGCGCTTGTGGAATAATTTGAGACATCATCCTTAAGGTATTTAGCTCCAAGCCTTTACTAAGAGATATGAATGGCAATTTTGGGTCAACATGCTGGGAAATGTCTTGAAGAAAAGATGAACTGAACTGCCACAAAATAAACGAAGTTAGTACTTTTGTTTGAGGCTGGTACACTAAATTTCCAGATTCAGGAAGCTATTTATGGCCTTTTACTTCTAAATATTGCTCAAATATTATCTGAAACTATCAAGATTTAGGTATGTTATATAGGATTACCTGCACAGGAACAGCATGAAAGCAAAAATCAGCTCCTATTAAAGCATCTGATGCATTGGTTGTGGCGACAATATTTTCAGGAAGCTTATGTCTAGGAAAGTATTTGCTGCGGTGAAACATATAAAAGAAAAATTAATAACTCCAATATATAATTTTCTAACTAGTTTCAACAGCATTGTAATCATGGAACCAATAATAGACTTTCTAGATAAAATTGCACTGGAAAAAACTGATCAGCATTTTCCAAAGGATTCTCCACCCTTAGCTTTTTGTTAACGATGGGTTTTCAAACGCCTCCACTGGCATAAGTGTGTGCATGGATGGGTGGGTGAACAAATGAGCAGGTGTGACATGCACGAGTGTAAGTGTGCATGCGATGACAGAAAGAAAATTGTCCATCACTCATCTGTTTCTAACTGGTATAGAAGAATTTCATCATAAAGACTAAAAAAAATTCAGTAAAATGGAAAGAAACAGCTATTGTGTTTTACCAATTAAAATGAATCTCATTAATGTCACGGCAAACATTGACGTCCCTGACAAGCATAGAGACCTCCATATCAGCTTTCTTACTTGCAATATGTGCTGCCATTGCCGTACCAAAAGATCCACCACCAAGAACAACAACCTAGTACGACAAATACAGCACAACCAAATTCACCAATTCAATAAGAGATGCATATAAAATCAAAATTTGCATGTTAGTTATCTTAAAACATGGATATTATGGCTTGCCATATAAACTTTATGGATGAAAAGGGAAAATGAAAGGAAAATCTTTTTTTTAATACAAAGGGCGGATAACTCAGTGTGTAGACTCTCAGGCTGATCTTAGATTATGAGAATCTTATAACATTCATATTTACTCCAGGAACTGTCTGTCCTTAATCATGAAAATGCAATTGAAACCGTGTTAGCATTATAAGTTGTTGAGAAACTACGCAAATTCCCTTTTTACCAGATTTATGAGAAAGCGAAATAAATGCGCAAATAAGAGGACGCGCAAATTTAATGTGCTTCGGCACAAAATTGTCTACGTTCACGGGTTGCTGCTGATCTTTCACTAAGGGGAGAAAAATTTACAATCACTCTCACAAATACTCACAACCCAAATTTTACTCTGAGATCTTTCACTAAGGGGAGAAAAATTTACAATCACTCTCACAAATACTCACAACCCAAATTTTACTCTGAAAAATTGCTCTCAATTTTTCTCACTATACAATCACTCTCACAAATACTCACAACCCAAATTTTACTCTGAAAAATTGCTCTCAATTTTTCTCACTGAGTACTCTTCTCTCAGCCTCTCTTTCTCTCTTGCTAAATAAGATTCAGAAGCTGATTTGATGAGGGCTAAGGAGAGAGGGGTAGGGGTTTTATAGCCTAAGTACTCTTCCTGCCATTTGACAAAGGCATCGTCCTTTCCTTCCCTCTTTCAAAAAAAACGGCCACCAAAAGCCAATCACCGAAAGCTTCCCTCCCTTTTTGACTAACAATCTCTCACTTGGACACTGATCTCAATCTGTCTTCACATCTCAATCTATGCAGCAGTTCTTCCCCAGTCTTGATACTATTATAGGCCAACTGAAGCTGAACACAGCTTCAGTTTGTTAGTAGTCACCATCTTTATCAGCATGTCTGTCGGATTTTGAGCTCCACTGAACTTTTCAAGTTTCAAAATGTCATCTTCCAGAAGTGACCGGATAAAATGATACCGCATCTATATGTGCTTCGTTCTGGAATGAAAAGATGGATTCTTCGCTAGATGAATAGCAGTTTGACTGTCGCAATATAAGACATTGTCTTCTTGTTTCTTGCCTAACTCATCCAAGAAACTTTGAAGCCAAATTATTTCCTTGCTGGCTTCTGTAACAGCGACATATTCTGTTTCAGTTGTGGAGAAAGCAACTACCTTCTGCAGTTGAGAAACCCAACTAACCGTAGTACCTCCTAGAGTATAGACATACCCTGTAGTGCTCTTTCTGACAACAACATTTCCTGCTAAATCAGCATCCACATAACCTGTTAGTATTGTATCTCCACATTTGAAACAAAATGCTTTACCTGTGGTGCCCCGTAGCTATATGAGGATCCATTTGACTGCTTCCTAATGTACCTTGCCCGGATCATTCATGTACCTGTTAACAATTCTCATTGCTTGAGCAATATCTAATCTTGTACAAACCATGACATACATCAGACTTCCAATTGTTGAGGCGTACGAGACATTCGCCATGTGTGCACGCTCTTTCTCTGTCTTTGATGACTGCACTTTGGAAAGTCTAAAATGAACACCTAAAGGTGTACTCACTGGTTTAGCATCTTGCATATTGAACCTGAAGAGTACTTTGTTGATGTACTCAGCATGTGATAACATCAAAATCCCAAACTTCGTGTCTCTCTTGATTCTCATTCCAAGAATCTGTTTTGTAGGGCCAAGATCTTTCATTGCGAACTGTTTTAATAATTTTTGCTTTAAATTTATAATCTCTTACAGATCTGAGCCTGCAACGAACATGTCATCAACGTATAATAATAAAATAATAAAGCTATTGAGATAGCAGCAATGATCTGTTTGGCATCTAGTGAAACCGTTGTTGCCCATAAAGCTGTCAAACTTATTGTACTACTGTCTGGGAGCTTGTTTTAATCCATACAAGCTCTTCTTCAAACGACATACTAGATTTTTCTTGCCTGCCTTTATGAAGCCTTCTGGTTGCTACATATAGATCTGCTCCTCCAAATCGCCATGAAGGAAAGCTGTTTTTACATCTAACTGCTCAAGATGTAAATTCTCAGCAACTATAATTTTTAACACCAGTTTGATTATAGTCAATTTCACGATCGAAGAGAAAATTTCATTGTAGTCAATACATTCTTTTTGCTGAAAGCCTTTGACAACCAATCTTGCCTTGTAGCGCTTGTTCCCATCATGCTCTTCTTTGATCCTGTAAATCCAATTGTTATGAAGAGCTTTATTACCTGGTGGTAATTCAGCTAAGTCCCACGTCTGATTTGACATAAGCGAGTTCATATCATCTTACATAGCAGACTCACACTTGACTGAATCCTCCACCTGCATTGCTTCATCATAACACTCTGATTCACCACTGTCAATCAGCAACAAGTAGTGCAAACTGCAAAGAAGGCGAATAACGATGGGTTGGCTTAGAAATTCTGGAGGAGCGTCTCACTTCTGACATGCTTGGTTCTTCTTGAACTACTTCAGGACTAGTCTGAACATCATTTTCAGAAATCTCCTCAAATTCAGCAAATTCCTTTATTTTAGCTTTTGTACTGAAACTACTTGATTCTGCAGTTGATCTGTTTTTGTACATCACATTCTCATTAAATATGACATCTCTGCTTCTGATGATCTTTCGATTTTTATAATCCTAAAATCGGTAACCAAACTCATCACCATCATAACCAACAAAAACACATTTGTTAGATTTTGCATCAAGTTCATTTCTTTCAACAGAATCTATGTGTACATAAGAGATACAACCAAAAATTCTTAAATGCGAAAGGTTTACCTCTTTTCTGCTCCAAGCTTCTTCCGGTATTCCACTATCCAAGGGAACTGAGGACCCACGGTTGATTATGTAGGCTGCGGTATTAATAGCTTCAGCCCATAGGAACTTAGGCAAACCGGCATGTATCATCATGCTTCTGGCACGTTCATTCAAAGTTCTGTTCATGCGCTCCGCAACGCCATTCTACTGCGGTGTCATGGGAATTATTTTTTCCATCTTGATCCTGTTGTTTGCGTAAAATTCTTTAAATCTACTATCTTTGTACTCTCCTTCATTGTCTGACCTCAACCGCTTTATCTTCAAACCAATTTTATTTTTCACTATGACCTTCCATTTTCTGAAGGTATCAAAGACTTCAGATTTTTTTCTTCAGAAAATAGACCCACACCTTCATTGTAGAATCATCAATGAAGGTGATATAGTACAGTGAGCCTGTAAGGGAAGGAACCGAAGATGGCCCCCATACGTCAGTATGAACCAATTCTAACTTTTCTGTCTTGGGTGTCTTGCTAATCTTTGTAAAACTGACTTTTTTCTATTTGTAAAAAATATAATCCTTGTATAGGCCGATATCTACATTCTTTAGATCCGACAACATCCCTTTTGACAGAAGTGTCTTCATCCTTTTTTCGCTTATGTGGCCAAGCCTTTGGTGCCTATAGGTTTAATTTTTCATCTGTATTTGTTACTGCAATAATATTCTCTAAATTAGAGGTTACATAGAGAGTACCACTTTTCTTACCTCGAGCAATGACGTGTGCTCCTTTGATAATCTTTCATTCATGATCTGAGAATGTTGTACAATAACCCTCTCCATCAAGCTGTCCCACAGAGATCAAATTTTTTTAAGGCTATGCATATGTCTCACTCCTTATAGCTTCCATGTGGTCTGATTTGACAATTTTAGTCGGGTGTCTCCCTTGCCAATGATCTTCAAGGTTTCATTATTTGGTAGATGTACCTTTTCAAAATCACCGCTAACGTAGTTATCCATGATTTCTCGACATGGGGTGGAATGGAAGGATGCGCCTGAATCAAGAATCCATGATTCAATCAGACTATTGATATTTAGAATCATAACATCACCTCCTTTCTCGGTCACGTTGGCAGACTCTTGTGCACCGGTATTTTTCTTCAGTGCCCGACACTCCCTCTTAAAATGACCCTTCTTGTCACAATTGTAGCACTTAAAATCTTTTTTTCCCGATCTAGATTAGCTCCTAGATTTTGATCTGCCGTGATTTGAACTTCTTTCCGAAGTTCTTCCCCTAGACTCTGTATGTAAGGCTGAGGAGGTTGAAGCTTCACCCGATTCTCTCCGTTGAATTTCTTCACTGAGAACCAAATCACGAACATCATCAAATTTCAACTTGTTGCTTCCTGACGAGCTACTCACAGCTGTGACAGTAGCATTCCAACTTTCTGATAGGGAAGAAAAAAATATTAATGCTCGTACTTCTTCATCAAATTCAATCCTAACTGAACTAAACTGAGTTGTGGCAATGTTAAGTTCATTGAGATGTAGAGCTACTGATGCGCCTTCTGTCATTCGCAAATTGAATAGCCGTCTCATCAAGTGAACTATGTTTGAGGCGAAGGGCTTCTCATACATGCTACAGAGAGCCGCCATAAAACCCGTCGTGGCCTTTTTCTTTGCTATGTTGAAAGCAACGTTGCGAGATAACGTCATTCGGATAACTTCAAGGGTTTGTCTGTCGAGGAGAGCCCACTCTTCATCCTTCATGTTATCCGGTTTTTTTCTGAGAGAGGTTGATACAGCTTCTTTTGGTACAAATAATCTTCTATCCGCATATTTCAAAAGCCAAAATCTGCACCATCGAACTTCTTAATTTTCATCTTCCTTTCGTCTGCAGTCATCGTCCCACTCGAATCTGACTTCCTCTGGATCGTTTCTGATAATTTCTACGAACCACCTATATTAAAACACCTCTGTCGACAAGTCAGTACCGCCAACAAAATTTCACTATTCACGAAATTCACTATTTATATGAATAGTAATCTCAAAAAAATTGACAATCGTCACAACCAGAGCTTTGATACCAGTTGCTGGGAAACTACACAAATTCCCTTTTTATGTTTGAGGCGGAAGGCTTCTCATACATATTTACGGGGCGCCATAGGTAAAACACTTTATTTCAAAGGTGGAGATACAATACTAAAAGGTTATGTGGATGCTAATTTAGCAGGAAATGTTGATGTAAAAAAGAGCACTACAAGGTATGTCTATACTCTAGGAGGTACTGCGGTGAGTTGAGTTTCTCAACTGCAGAAGATAGTTGCTCTCTTCATAACTAAAGCAGAATATGTTGTTACAAAAGCCAGCAAGAAAATGGTTTTGTTTCAAAGTTTCTTGGATGAGTTAGGCAAGAAACAAGAAGATAATGTCTTATGTTGCGACAGTCAAGGTGCTATTCATCTAGCGAAGAATCCGTCTTTTCATTCCAAAACGAAGCACATACAGATACGATATCATTTTATCCGATCACTTGTGGAAGATGGAATTTTAAAACTTGAAAAGATCAGTGAAGCTCAAAATCCGACAGACATGCTGACAAAGACGGTGATTACTGACAAACTGAAGCTGTGTTCAGCTTCAGTTAGCCTGCAATAGTATCAAGATTGGGGAAGAGTTGCTGCATAGATCGATATGTGAAGACAGATTAAAATCAGTGTCCAAGTGGGAGATTGTTAGTCAAAAAGGGAGGGAAGCTTTTGGTGATTGGCTTTCGATGGCCGTTTTTTTTAAAAGAGGGAAGGAAAGGACGATGCGTTTGTCAAATGGCAGGAAGAGTACTTAGGCTATAAAATCCCTACCCCTCTCTCCTTAACCCATCATCAAATCAGCTTCTGAATCTTATTTAGTAAGAGAGAAAGAGAGGCTGAGAGAAGAGTACTTAGTGAGAAAAATTGAGAGCAATTTTTCAGAGTGAAATTTGGGTTGTGAGTATTTGTGAGAGTGATTGTAAATTTTTCTCCCCTTAGTGAAAGGTCATCAGCAGCACGTGAATGTAGACAATTTTGTACCGAACCACGTTAAATTTGCGCATCCTCTTATTTGCGCATTTATTTTGCTTTCTCATAAATCCGGTAAAAAGGGAATTTGCGTAGTTTCCCAACATAAGGTTCATTCTTTACATTGACACAATGAAGGTGAACTCTTTTGCCAAATTCCCAAAAATAAAACTTGATGTTCCAGCAGCTCCAAGGTTTAGATAAAGCCTTCTACTATTCCGATATTGCAAAAGCTAGTTAAGTAGTCATTTACTTATTTGAGGAAGGACACTCAAAAATGGAAAAAACCCCAAGAATATCAACTTAGTAAAGTGCATGAGAAACACATTTCTTACCAAATTTCAGCTTTTTAAGTTCAGGCAGAAAGAACAACAAAGTTAAGTCTTTGGGGGTATCTAATCGTCAAATTAGCGTCAATGTGAAACCTTTGGGCTATCAAATTGTCAAATCCAGATATCAAAGTTCAAAAATAATGGAAAATTTAGGGTATTAAAGTGCAGACAACCCTAACCCCAAAACTAAAAATGCTACCTTTTTGGTTCGCTCGAGTACATCAGTCTTCGCCTTGGACCGCCAGGACCGGGACCACCGAACGAGCTTCTCCCATGCGATCCTCACCGCCCGTCGCCGGTCCCTTCCTCCCTCTCTAGCAGCAGTAACAGCACTAGGGCTATGGCTAGGGTTAGGGTTAGGGTTAGAAATAGGGTTGTCGTCGACAGGAACTTCAGGCTCTAGGGTTCCAGCGGAGCAAGGGCAAGGCCAAGAAGAGATCGAAATCGAGAGCACCGATCGATTCGATTGGAGATTGAGATTGTTTCTAGCTGAAGGAGAGAGGACTCGTTGGGATTTTGAAGGAGGGAAGCGAGTGCAGAGGAACGACTGGTCTGAGGCTGAGATAATCGAAGCGGCCATTTTTGCTCTCTCTCTCTCTCTCTCTCTCTCTCTCTCAACTCTCGAGCTGCTCTGAGAATTTTATCCCTTTCTCAAAGCGCGGGCTTGTGGTGAGCAAGGGGAGCGCGTGGGTCCCTAATCGCCCATTTTTGTAATATAAATAATATATATGTACCCACAGGACTAGGCTTATTTTCACTTTGGTGCCTCCCAGCTTATTCTTGTTTGCACTTTGTTACCCTAAATTATTATAATTCAGGCTCTTAGCTGTGAATCTCATTTCACTTTGATACCATGTCATTAGATTTATTTTCTTCTTTTTCTCTTTTTCGTTAGATCTTTTTCGCTTTTACTCTCTTCACTGTCATAGCAATCGAGAAAAAATGGAGCTACAAACTTAATATGGGACAGAAGTATCTAAGTGAAATGAAAACGAAACAAAGTGTTAAGAAGTATATTGGGATAATAAAGTGAAAATGGCTGCACTTTGGGGTTTCATGGTGAAAATAAGCTTTCATGGGGGTTTCTTTACAGATATACCCCCAAGGCTAGTGTATTTGCAAATATAGTCCTCAAATGTGTATATTTGAAGTAGCATGCTTCTTGCAATTACCCCATGAGCTATGGGTGCGAAGTAAAAAATTCCTACGACGTGAAAGCTGCAGAACAAAACACGTGTCCTTATTATGCCTCAATTCCCAGAGCAGGATCCAATTCTCGCTCACACTGCTCTATATATAACCCTAACCAAAACAACGACAATGTTGTTAAAATTGATCCCCATTTCAATCAGTTGCTAGCCCCTCTGCGATCTGGGTTTGCTTCAAAATCCAATCTTTCCAAGTGAAACCCCGATATCCAACGTGGGTTTTCTTCAAAATGCGAGCTTTTTGAGTAAAAAACTAGACTTTTCCAGGGTTTTTTTTTCATTATAATTGACTGTGATTATCGAGTAATTATTATATATAACGGTCAAGATGAGAGGAAACTTGTGGTTTTCAATCTGGGCTTTGCTTTTATGGGGTTCTTGTTTGGGGAGATTTGTGGTTGAGAAGAATAGCTTGAAGGTGACGTCGCCGGAGTCGTTGAGAGGCGTTTATGAATGTGCAATTGGGAATTTTGGGATTCCTCAATATGGAGGAACCATGATTGGGGTTGTAATGTACCCGATATCGAATAGGAATGGCTGCAAGAGATTCGATGAGGTCGGCATTTCGTTCAAATCGAAGGCTGGAGGGTTTCCTACCTTTGTTTTGGTTGATAGAGGAGGTGAGATTTTTTATTATTGAGTTGAGTTAATAGTATTTGATGCATGTTTGTTTATTTTGGCTGTTAATTGTTCATGAATAGAAGTAATGCATGTTGGTCTTTATCTTTCGATTATTCCTTAATTTAATTTCTTGCTATCGTAAACTGTTGTGATAATTAACCACAAAAAACAGAAAATAGAGAGACAATCACAAACACACAATATTTACGTGATTCGATCAAATTGATCTACGTCCACGGCAAGAGAGGAGTTTCACTATATTCAATCTCTCAATACAATGCACATACAAAATTTAAGAGGACTCTCTTTTTGTGTAGCTCTCACTCTCCGGTTCTGAAACGCACAGAGAGTTTAAGAGAGAATGAGATCTCACATAAATCCAACAGGGGGCCACCTTAATATTACCTCTCTTTACCCGAAGTGACATCAATAACAACGACCTCCCTTTCACAAAATTTCTTCGGCATCAGCCGCAATTGTTGAAAGATCTTTGAGAAGTGAGGGTGACTTGACAGCGACCTCCCTCCCCTTTCAAAAAACAAAATAGGCCCCGGTCATTTGGCCAAATTCAAGCCAATATCAACAATCTCCACATTAGATTGAATTTTCAAACATCAAGAAATTGAATATTCATCATGAACACAGCTAACGTGAGAGTTCACTTCATAATAGAACAAGTGAAACTCGACCCCCTCTTGCAAACAATGCTCCAAACGGGGCCATCTAACAAGTGCGAATGCCTCCCAAATTCAAGCGACCCCCTCTTGCAAACAATGCTCCAAACGGGGCCATCTAACAAGTGCGAATGCCTCCCAAATTCAAGTAGTGCTTGAACTTGAAGGTCGGGATCGGTTTGGTCAACATGTCAGCTGGATTGTCTGCAGTACCAATCTTTTTCATCGTGATGTTTCTTTCAGCAGTTGCCTCACGAATGTAATGATATCTGACATCAATATACTTTGTCCTCTCATGATGTGCTGAGTTTTTGCTTAGATGGATTGCGTTCTGATTGTCACAAAATATAACTAGTCCAAGCTCCCTTATGAGAGTTCTCAACCAAATAGCCTCTTTTACTGCTTCTGTTGCTGCCATGTATTTCGCCTCTGTAGTAGACAAAGCAACTGTCAATTGTAGAGTTGATCTCCAACTAATAGCTGAGCCAGAAAGAGTAAACAAATAACCAGTTAAAGATCTTCTTTTATCGAGATCACCTGCATAGTTAGAATCCACAAAACCTACAATTGAGATTCCTAAAGTACCGCTATCAAAAACTAAACCCAAATCTGAGGTACCCCTGAGATACCGAAGGATCCACTTAACTGCTTCCCAGTGTGCCTTCCCTGGTTGAGCCATGTATCTGCTCACTACAGTGATTGCCTGGGCAATATCTGGATGAGTGCAAATCATAGCATACATAATGCTACCAACTGCATTAGAGTATGAAATTTGGGACATCTCCTTCTTCTTGTTCTCACTTGTAGGTGATTCTGAAGCCGAAAGCCTAAAGTGCGGAGCTAAAGGAGTTGTAACGGGCTTGGCCCTCTTCATCCCAAAGCGTTCAAGCACCTTTTCAATATAACTCTTTTGTGAGAGATATAATGTTCCAGCTTTCCTGTCCCTCCCGATCTCCATACCTAAGATCTTCTTTGCTGCACCAAGATCTTTCATCTCAAACTCATCACTGAGTTGTTTCTTCAAAATAAGAATCTACGACATGTTCTTAGAAGCAATAAACATGTCATCGACATATAATAGAAGATAAATAAAAGAATCATCTCCTAGATGAATATAGTACACACAACTATCATAAGTACTTCTTGAGTACCCATGACTAAGCATAAAATTATCATACCTCTTGTATCACTGTCTGGGAGATTGCTTCAGACTATTTAAAGATTTTTTCAATCTGCAAACTTGATCTTCTTTACCTTCTACGAAGTATCCCTCTAGCTGAGCTATGTAGATAGTCTTCTCAAGTTCGCCATGCAAAAATACAGTCTTCACATCAAGCTGCTCAAGCTCCAAATCAAATAGAGCAACCATGGCAAGCAATACACGGATGGAGGTATGTTTCACAACTGGAGAAAACACTTCATCATAGTCAATTCCCTCCTTTTGTCTATAACCCTTAGCCACCAACCGTGCTTTAAATCTAGCAGCTTTAACCCCTGGGATCCCTTCTTTCTTCTTAAAAATCCACTTGCATCTAATTGTCCTTTTACCCTTAGGTAATTGCACCAAATCCCAAGTCTGGTTCTTACAAAGTGACTCGAGTTCTTCTGTCATAGCCGTGACCCAACGTTCAGATTCTCCGCATGAGACAGCTTCAGTAAAGTTTGATGGCTCTTGAATACACATCTCTTCAGCTGTCGTGAGAGCATACGTCACTAATTTAGCATGTGTAAATATTTGAGGAGGTCTGATCTGTCTCCTCTCTCTGCCAGTGGCTATGGATTAAGGTTCTTCAGTCTCAGCATCATCATCATCTGAGCCTGAATCATGTTGCTCTTCTATAACTGTAGGAGCAATTTTTATAGATGACTTTTTAGAAGTCTCTCCCTCGAACTCCACCTGAAGCTCCACCTTATCCATGGTCTTTTCTACATTTCCTGTAGACTCAACAGAAACTTTCCCATGATCAAACATATATCTTTCATTAAAAGTAACATCTCTACTAATAATGAATTTAGGAGAATCAGGTTCAAGACTCCACAAACGATAGCCTTTAACGCCATCAGCATAACCAATAAATATGTATTTCTTAGCTCTAGGCTCAAGCTTACCCTCTCTAACATGATAGTAAGCGGGACATCCAAATACCTTTAAATTTGAATAGTCATTTGGTTTACCTGACCATACCTTATTTGGAGTCTTGTGTTCAATGGCGGCAGAAGGAGACCGGTTTACCAAGTAACAAGCTGTGTTAACAGCTTCAGCCCAGAAGTCTTTATCCAACTCAGAGTTTGAGAGCATACACCTAGTTTTTTCCGTCAACGTTCTATTCATGCGTTCTGCCACCCCGTTTTGCTGAGGAGTATGCCTGACCGTGTGATGTCGTACGATCCCAGAATTTGAGCAGAACTGATTGAACTCACCACTGCAGAACTCTAGGCCATTATCTGTTCGGAGACGTTTAATCTTCTTTTCAGTTTGATTCTCAACAAGTACTTTCCACTTCTTGAAAGTTTCGAACACCTCGCTTTTGCGTCTGAGAAAGTAAACCCAAACTTTTTTAGAAAAATCATTAATAAACGTTAGAAAATAAAGAGCACCACCTTTGGATAGAACCTGAGCAGGTCTCCACAAATCTGAATGGATGTAGTCGAGAGTGTCCTTCGTCGTATATGAGCCAGTCGAGAAGCTGACCCGAGTTTGCTTCCTAAACACACAATGCTCACAGAAATCCAGTGATGATGTATGGTCACCACAGAGTAAGCCACGTTTACTCAAAATAGTCATCCACTTCTCACTCATGTGGCCTAAGCGCATGTGCTACAACTGAGTAGTGTCCCTATTAGCATCAGAGGACACACCTGCAGAGCCTGTCACTGTACTGCCTTTGAGAACATAAAGACTGTTCACCTTACTACCTTTCATCACAACCAATAAACCCTTAGAAACTCTAAGAGCTCCACCTCCACCACTGTAAGAACATGCAATAGAATCCAAAGAACTCAAAGAAATCAGATTTTTCTTTAAGTCCGGGATGTGTCTCACATTTGATAAAGTTCTCACAATCCCATCGTGACACCGGATGCGAACTGTACCAATGCTAACTGTCTTGCAAACTGCATTTTTACCGATCAAAATTAATCCACCACTTATAGATCTGTAAGTAGTAAACCAATCTTTATTTGGACACATATGATAAGACGCACCCGTATCCAAGATTCATTCTCTATCGGTTCATTCAAGGGACAAACTGTAAGAACCGTCTCAATAACAACGGTAGTATCAGCCTTTGCCATATTAGCTGAATCTGAGGTTTCACCACGCTGGTTGTCTTTCTTCTTTAGAGCATAGCATTCTGACTTGTAATGCCCTTTCTTATGACAGTAGAAACACTCCACAAGTTTCTTGTTTTGTGCTGACTTGGACTTTGAACGATTTCTGGATTGTCCTTTATCACCCTCTCTGATCTTCGTTCTACATCTGGCTAGCAGACCATCAGCCTGCCTATCGGTACCTCTCCCATTCAACTTTGTTCTTAACTCAGCAGAATTCAAAGAGGCTTTCACATCCTCAAGACTTATGGATTCTCTTCCATACAATATAGAGTTAACAAAGTTTTCATAAGAGTCAGGCAAGTAACACAATACAATGAGAGCCTAGTCTTCATCATCAAGCTTTAGATCCAGGTTTTTCATATCCATGATAATTTTATTAAATTCATCAAGGTGTTCATGAATGGGTGTACCTTCCTTCATCTTCAATGTGTATAGTCGCTGCTTCAGGTATAATCTCGTAGTAAGAGATTTCTTCAAGTAGAGACTTTCGAGCTTTGACCACAGCCCCGTTGTCGTTTCCTCATCGGCAACTTCACGAAGCACATTGTCGGATAGTAACAATTGCAAGGCATTGTGAGCCTTTTCGTCCATCTCTTCGATCTCGGCACTAGTCATATCTTCTGGGTATTTCCCATTAATAGCTTTAATCGTGCCTTCACGTCGCAACAAAGCCTTCATCTTTATCCTCGATAGGCTAAAATTATTCTGGCCATCGAAGATCGACACCGAGAACTTCACAGAAGCCATTTTTGGAGGATTGAAAGCTGTCCTAAAATCGAGAAGCTCTGATACCAGTTTGTTGGGATAATCAAACACAAAACCAGAAAAATAGAAAGACAATCACAAACACACAATATTTACGTGATTTGATCAAATTGATCTACGTCCACGGCAAGAGGAGGAGTTTCACTATATTCAATCTCTCAATACAACGCACCTACAAAATATAAGAGGACTCTTTTTTTTGTGTAGCTCTCACTCTCCGGTTCTAAAATGCACAGAGAGTTTAAGAGAGAATGAGATCTCACATAAATCCAACAGGGTATCACCTTGATATTACCTCTCTTTACGAAGTGACATCAATGACAACGACCTCCCTTTCACAAAATTTCTTCGGCATCGGCCGCAATTGTTGAAAGATCTTTGAGAAGAGAAGTGAGGGTGACTTGACAGCGACCTCCCTCCCCTTTCAGCCGCAATTGTTGAAAGATCTTTGAGAAGAGAAGTGAGGGTGACTTGACAGCGACCTCCCTCCCCTTTCAAAAAACAAAATAGGCCCCTCTTTGAGAAGAGAAGTGAGGGTGACTTGACAGCGACCTCCCTCCCCTTTCAAAAAACAAAATAGGCCCCGATCATTTGAAGAAATTCAAGCCAATATCAACATAAACATGTATATGTTCTGTTAGAGTATCCTTCTGCTTTGGTGATTTTTGTGTTTGGCAAATTAGTAGTGATAACTAAGCCACAAATCCCAAACTATTTGCACTACTAGAAACAAAAGTGCGGGGTCCTCAATGACTTATCAACTTTTTATAGCAATTCAAGAGGAAGGACCCCACAATTTTCGATCGAATTTGTAGTCTAGTTAGTATTACGCTTGACAAATTTTGATTATATATTATCTTCTGGATAAGTTATTCATCTTTTGTTGCTAACTCGCGAAAATTGTATAATGCACAAAAGCAATGCATATAGACTCTGCACACATGCACACACACGTGCACACCCAACATGTACTTGAACAATGTCTTGTTAACAAGATCACATAGAAGGCCTGCTTGTAAACCAAGTCCTTTTGAGTAATATTCTTTTTTTGTTTTCAGACTGTTTTTTCACAACAAAGGCATGGAATGCACAAAATGCTGGAGCTGCTGCTATCCTCGTTGCTGATAACAAAATCGAGCCTTTGATCACAATGGACACTCCCGAAGATAATGGAGGAGCCGAGCAGCTCCCAAACATCACAATTCCTTCAGCACTTATCAGCAAAGGCTTTGGTGATAGCCTTAAGAAAATTCTAGAAGACGGAAATATGGTTAATGTTAACTTAGACTGGAGAGAATCTCTACCTCACCCCGATGATCGAGTAGAGTATGAATTTTGGACAAACAGCAATGATGAATGTGGCCCCAAATGTGATAGCCAAATTGATTTTGTAAAGAACTTCAAAGGAATAGCACAAGTACTTGAGCAAAAGGGTTATACACAATTTACTCCTCATTACATTACTTGGTATTGTCCTGAAGCTTTTGCTCTGAGCAAGCAGTGCAAATCTCAATGCATCAACAATGGAAGATATTGTGCTCCAGATCCTGAACAGGATTTCACTAAAGGGTATGATGGGAAAGATGTTGTGGTTCAGAATTTACGTCAGGTTTGCTTGTTTAAGGTCGCTAACGAAAGCAGAAAGCCTTGGCTTTGGTGGGATTATGTGGCTGATTTTTCAATTAGATGCCCGATGAAAGATAAGAAGTACACACCGGAATGTTCTGAAGAAGTAATGAGGTCATTGGGTGAGTTTGTAACAGTGGTTAATTGCTGATAGACCCCCTTGGACTATCAACCAATTGCAGATAGTACCTGAAGTTCTATTGTTATGCATAGACCTCCCCGAGTAAGAAATTTTGACTCTTTTTACCCTCATAGAAATAGAAATTTGTTATTCTACATATAGGCCTCCTGAGGCTAAAAGAGTCATAAAATTTGACTCAGGGATCTATCGGCAACAATAAAACTACAGGGGCTCTCTCTGCAATTTGGCGACAGCACAAGGGGTTTTTTTTCTGCACTTAACCCTTGTAATAATATTGTGTGTTTCTATGTCGATGTTCAATCATTTGACTCATCTTTCTAAGCACTTCTCTATGTTTTTATGACAGAAAGGATCTCATTCTAAAGTTTAATTAAAACTTTTCTACAGGGGTCGATCTCGAGAAAATAAATCACTGTATTGGGAACATTGAAGCAGACAGTGAGAATCCAGTGCTTAAAGCCGAACAGGATGCACAGGTAATATAAGTTATGTGATCGCTCTCTTTTTCTTTTCTTTTTTAAATTGTTCTCGTATACAAATGCTTACTTGATCAATCCTTTCGGACCTGCAATTAATAGATTGGTAAAGGTGAACGTGGGGATGTAACCATATTGCCCACTCTTGTCATTAACAATAGACAGTACAGAGGTGTGTGCTTATTATCTTGTTTGCAGAAATTGGTTTGTAAAGCATACAGAGCATTTTGTG